AAATTTGCTGTAAGCCAGGTGGTTTGGAGGATAAGGGTCCCAAAACTGAATCTGGATTTTGTCCCAAAATCATGCAAAAACATTCAAAACTAGGTAGTTTGGAGGATCAGGATCCGATAAGTAAGATTTCCAAAATTAATTTTGCATCGTGGATTAGAGGCTTTTGTAGACATTTGTATACATTTGTTTCATCCTTTTTTTTGAAGGATCAAGATCCGAAAACTGAATCTAGATTTGCTGTAGTCCCAAGATCATGCAAATACGCTGCAAAGCAACTGGTTTGGAGGATCAGGGTCCGAAAGCTGAATCTAGATTTAGTCCCAAGATCATGCAAATAAACTGTAAACAAGGTGGTTTAGAGATGTTTGGAGGATCAGGATCCCAAAATTGAATCTGGATTTAGTCCCAAAATCATGCAAATTTGCTGTAAGCCAGGTGGTTTGGAGGATAAGGGTCCCAAACTGAATCTGGATTTTGTCCCAAAATCATGCAAAAACATTCAAAACTAGGTAGTTTGGAGGATCAGGATCCGATAAGTAAGATTTCCAAAATTAATTTTGCATCGTGGATTAGAGGCTTTTGTAGACATTTGTATACATTTGTTTCATCCTTTTTTTTAAAGGACCAAGATCCGAAAGCTGAATCTAGATTTACTGTAGTCCCAAGATCATGCAAATACGCTGCGAAGCAACTGGTTTGGAGAATCAGGGTCCGAAAGCTGAATCTAGATTTGTCCCAAGATCATGCAAATAAATTGTAAACAAGGTGGTTTAGAGATGTTTGGAGGATCAGGATCCCAAAATTGAATCTGGATTTAGTCCCAAAATCATGCAAATTTGCTGTAAGCCAGGTGGTTTGGAGGATAAGGGTCCCAAAACTGAATCTGGATTTAGTCCCAAAATCATGCAAATACGCTGTAATGCAGGTAGTTTGGAGGACCAGGATCCGATAAGTAAGATTTCCAAAATTAATTTTGCATCGTGGATTACAGGCTTTTGTAGACATTTGTCTCACTTGTTTTTTCTTTTTTAGAGGATCAGGATCTGAAAATTGCTATTTCCAAAATTATTTTTTTTGAAAGTCCGTAATCTAGCTAATTTTTTGTCTTGGTTTCGGTCCCCAACCTTTTTCGCTAACTGCGGCGCCGAACCTTTTTTTCATTTCCATAATTCTGTCGATGACTGTAAACATAAATTATATATTTATATCAATACAAAAAAACTTTATATATATATATTATATATTTTTTTTTAAAGGAAAAGTGATTGGCATTCGCAACCATGTTGATAAGCAAGAAACCATTGAAACGCCAGTCTGCGATGTTTTGTTCACTCACGAGGCCTCGAGAAAGCCAAGCATACCAGATAAGCTTGGCAGACCTTGGTGGGAAACAGAACGGTTGTATATATATATATATAATATATATAATATATATATCTAATATATATACATACGTGTTTGTGTATAAGTATATACACATATATATATATATATGCATGCATATAAATCTGATTAGGCTGGGGGGTGCATTCTATCTTCGGGGCTCATATATTCAAAGTTCTTCTTCAGTTCTCTATTGAAGGCAAATGTATATATATAAGTACAATTACAATATATAACTAAAACAAGTTAAAACTAAAGCTATATACAATTTGCCCACTAATAATAAAAACTGGTTAGCTCCGATATGTTCATTATTAAGGTTCCTCCGAAAATATTAGTTTTTTTATTTTAAGATTTTTCATTTAATATTAGGGAGAAGCTTCGAAATCCATTTTTAGCAATATTTTAATTGCGTTATAGAAGGAAATTGAATTCATTTTAAATTCTAAAAAAATAGTTTTTTATTAATGCTTTTTAATTTAATATTAGGTAAAGCTTCGAAATCAAAATTTTGGCAATATTTTGATTGCGTTATAAAAGGAAATTAAATTCATTTTGAATTCAAAAAAAAATAATTATATATAATGTTTTAAAAAAAAAATAATAATATTAGGGACAGCTTCGAATCAAAATTTTGGCAATATTTTGATTGCGCTATAAAAAGAAATTGAATTTATTTTGAATTCAAAAAAAATAGTTTTTTATTAATGTTTTTAGTTGAATATTAGGGAAAGCTTCGAAATCAAAATTTTGGCAATATTTTGATTGCGTTATAAAAGGAAATTAAATTGTTTTTGAAATCGAAAAAAAATAAATTTTTAATTTATATATAATATATATATATTTTGTTTTCAATTATTATTAGGATTCGCTTTGAAATCTAAATTTTGACAATGTTTTAAGTGCGTTATAAAAGGAAACTAAATTGATTTTGAAATCGAAAAAATATGTTTTATTAATATTTTTTTTAATTTATTATTGTGATCAGCTTCGAAATCTAATTTTTGACAATATTTTGGAGAAAATTGAACTGATTTTGAAATCGAAAAAAAAACAGTTTCCTTTTTGTTATGTATAAAAGTGCTTTAATTTATTATTGTGGTCGGATTTGCTTCCCTAATAATAAATATTATATATCTATATATATAAAATATATAATAATTATATACTATTTGATGTGTTTATTATATATTTGGTGGTGACGCCTAGTATTAGGGAGAAGTGAATATAATTTATATATATTATATGTAATAACTGCTCATTCTAACTCTGGATGCCTAATTGAATTATTGAAGCACCCATCACCAGCAATTCATTTTTTGATATCAAATAACATGTATGTATGTATATAAAATTATCCAATCCAAGCGACTGAAAATTGTTCAGCGAATCCAATGCATATGCATCTGCTCGCAATGATACCATGACAGATGACCTGGGCTGTCGGAGCTGAAACCAATTGCTTTGTGCCTGCGCCATGTTGTATGACATAGGATAAAGATACGGTTTATGTAGATAATAATTTGTTCGAAAAAACTATTAAACGACAACACTGTTTGTTATATAGTGTTTTAAAACTTACATCAAGGTGATATAATATATATGTTAAAAAAATACACTGTATATATGCATATTTTTAGGTTCTGCACGTTTGAATTCGTAAAAATGAAGGTTATGCATGTAGCTAAAGGCCAAGAAACTTAGTCGATACGGAGCTTTGCACAGACATTTGGAGCTCGTCCAATTGTTTCCTAAGATCCATGCAATGATGCCAATCAACCGCTGCTGCACAATACGCCCGCACCAAAGCGTGCAGATGGTTGTGCCATCCGTCGTTGGGTTGTCCTGCTGCCCCCCAACCTCCTGGAATAGGTGGGGGGCAGCCCTTTCCTCTACGAACTGCTGGCCCACCAGTGACAATTTCCTTGGTATCATGGAGCTACAAGTATAAAGTTATATATATATAGAACATAGATAAAGATATACATACATTTATAGAAAGATAGATAGACAGATAGATAGACAGACAGATAGATAGATAGATAGATACATAGATAGATGCATTAGTTAGATAGATAGATATATAGATAGATATATAGATAGATAGATAGATAGATAGATAGACAGATAGATAGATAGATAGATAAAGATAGATAAAGATAGATAAAGATAGATAAAGATAGATAAAGATAGATAAAGATAGATAAATATAGATAGATAGATAGATAGATAGATAGATAGACAGATAGAAAGATAGATAGATAGGTATATATATATATAGAAAGAAAAATAGGATGAATGAATAGATCGATAGAAAAATATATGTATATAAATATATATGTAAGTATATATATATATAGATAGATATATAATTATATGATTAGAAAAATAACATAGGTATATACGTAAGTATATTTATATATATACATAGATATATAAATAAACATATGGGTAAATATTTCTTTTACATACAAATACAAATATATATATATTCCCTTGAGTGTCACAATGAGATAAATCGAATGAAATAAAGCCACAACACATTATATATAATTCAAACAACTGAATAGTTGTTGAGAATTAACGTTTTAACGTTTTCAAAAACAAATGTGTGCTGCAATGAAGAATTGCATCTGGCTTCATAATGTCAACCGCGGTAAGTCACCAAAACAAGAAATAGCTGCAACACACAACCTAAATAATATCCAAGTGGCAACGTTGTTGGTGTTACACCATGCTTTCCGGAGATCTTCAAATTGCTGAGCTGAATGCTGTGTGGCTGAATCTGCCAAAATCAAACATCTCGCCTCAAGCCCAATGCCAAGGGATCTGCGTCTGGCCCTGATTTCCTCAGTAAGGAAACTTAGATATGAAACCATCGTTTCCGACGTCCAGATATGGCTGCGTGCCTGAAGTGGCCCCACATAGAGCCAGCGCTTGAGCTCCTGATGGCCACATTCTAACATTGAGAGCACAAACCAAAGGAACCATGAGAATGCATAGCTTGATTCATGATGAATATATATATATATATATCATCTATATGTATGTAGCTACCATTTTTTTTTTGGTGTGTATATATATATATGCTATATATATTATATATATAGTCTGATCTAGGAAACATCATGAAATTTTAACAGCCTCAGGCCTCGTTGGCTTGCTGGCGCTGAGACTCCGTTAGTGAGTCATCTCGACATGTGATGAAGCCTCGGCCTACTGTACCATCATTCCATGATAAAGTACAAAGGGTTCGTGGCGTGCGCCATGATTCCACTGGACATGTCGCTGTTTTGCCACCTGTCACTGACGGAGTTTTGGCAACTGGATTTTCGTCAGGACCTAGGCTTTCTGTCAAGTCCAATCCCATGCAACGCTCAAGAACATGACGAATTTTCCTCTTGGAAAGGTGTTTGGATAATTCATCTCCCTTGGTTTTCTGCTGCAAACATGACCGAACAGGACGGTAGAGTACTGACCAGGTCTGATCATAGTTTGCTACCATCCTCGGATGAATGTCACCCTTGGTAGTCTGATAGGCGACCCAAGAGCATATTTTTTGAACTGCAGGGTGATCAGCTTCTAAATGTTTGCCAGGTTTTGTATTCGCTCGACTGAATATCCCGGCTTTGTTGCAAATACGCTGGGCTGTTTTCCTTAGATTTGAAGGGTGTCATAGTTCAATCAGGACTCCCAAGTTAGAATGCGCCCCGGTGCATTCATTCCCACAAGAAGAAATGTCAAAAACATATATATAAATATAAAGCCTAGTTTCATCAGATTGTTGTCGCTGTCCTTCATGACAACTCGAAGGAGGACTTTCTTCAAACTCTGCTGAATCTCCTCCAGTTTCTGCTGCACAGGAACATCGTCACGACCATCAGTTCGAAAGCGAGCTTCCAACAAAGGAAGTAAGGTTTCAGCATTCTCCAACTGGGGCTTGAGCGTCTCCACAGCATGATTCCATTGAGCAACTGCTGTCTTGATGACATCGATCACATAGCGGAAACCCACTTCCTCGCCAAGCTGCAAGCGTTCAGCCTGAGATGGATGAGCTATATATATATGTATATATAAATATGTATGTAATGTAATGTAATGTAATGTAATGTAAGGTAATGTAAGGTAATGTATGTATATATGTTTGTATGTATGTGAGTATGTGTGTATGTATGTATGTGTGTATGTGTGTGTATGTATATGTGTATGTGTATGCGTATGCATACGTAAATGTATATGTAGATGTATATATCTGTCTACAAATGTATATATATATATATACGTATGTGTATATGTATTCATATATATATATATGTAGGTATGTATTTGTATGCACCCAAGGAGCCACAGAGTCAGACACTGCAGTGACAAGCTCTGCAGGCAGCATAGTGGTCGTATCTCCAAGTGGCTGGCCCTTGGGCGTTCGTTTGGCGACCTTGGAACATTTGCCCAAGGTTGGACGAAGAAAGCCTGGAAGCTCTTTGCATGATTTTGCAACCTTGGGAGAAGATTTGCAAAGTAACGTCCACTTTTCTTCATTTCGCGCCTTTCGCCACCGGTAAAAGCAACATCGGAAGAATCCTGGGAGCTTGAGGCTCTCGACATACTTGCATGCATTCTTGATCTCTGGGTCAGCGACTGCCTTGTCGTATGCCTGCATCCTTGGTGATGAGGATGTAATATATATATATAACAATATATATGATATATATATATATGTTTAATACATATATATATCTATCTAAAAATATCTCAATACATATATAAATATAATATATATATAATATAATATATATATATAACATATAATATAATATATATATATATATCACATACCAAAGCTAGCAATGTAAAAATGACGCATGGCCAATGCATCCTAGTTGCACCATCTCCTTCTCCCATATCGATGCAACTTTGGACTTGCCATGTTTGTTGAACTTTCGGCTATCAACCTTGGGATCCTTGCGCTTATACTTTGGATTCTTGGACTGTTTCTTCTTTCCACCAGACGGTGGCAATACCTGACAAAGAGCTGGTGGTGTCTTGCGTTTCAGCCTACGGGCTACCACTTGTTGAGGTTGCTCACGATGCACACCATCCGTTGGAGCATTGACGACGCCAGCCTTGTCCCAGGCATCTGGCGTACAGGTCAAGGCAGTCATGAGAACTGCTTGACATACTGTGCTAGAAAAGCTATTTCCTGCGATCTCTTGAGCTTGTTCTTGGAGAGCTGCATATGCATCCCGGTTGAAGCATGACCTGAAGAGCCCCTGTGCATTCAAAACATCTTCAGCCTGCAAGTAGCGGCGTAGCCCGGTTGAGTAGACATCATGACTGGGTGCCAAACAAGGTATCACTCCATCACCCATCATCTGCCAGTCAATGGAGCTAGATGCATCGATGAACACATTGTTGGAGTAGGGGTACTTGGTCTTTGCGATGTCCACCAGTGCCTTTATCCTCTTGTTGGATGGAGGCTCCTCTGGACGCTTCAGAAAGATTTGTTCCACAGGAAACTGGAAATTGCTTCTCAAAGACAACAGCGTCTGCTTGTACCATTTATCCACCGATTCCACAGTATCTTGACCTGTGATGAGAAAAGCTAATCCCCAAACACGATTGCGCCGTTGAGGTAGCAGATAATATTGGCTGTCGAGGATAGTCCATACCTGATTTGCATCAGCCGAAGTTATAAACACACACATTCTAACTTTGTGGTTGTCAAATATCAATCACCTGGTGGGGAAGGCTTTAAGAGATTTCATCGGAAACATTGGTACACAACCTAACAGCATATAGCAGTGGCAACCTAAAAATATATGTATGTATTTATGTGTATGTATATATATATGGATATGTATGTAAATGTGAAAATATGTTTATGTATATATATATGTATGCATGCATGCATGCAGATATGTATGATGTTGTTGACTCCCTGCAATTAAAGCCAAGATGCGAAACCATACCCCATTTCCCGCATGTGCTTTTCCACCACCTGCTGGACAGTAATCATTGATATCACCATAGGAAGAGAGAGAGAAATATATATATATGCGTGCACCATATATATAAATATATATATATATGTTATATGCATAGGGGATTGAACATTATGTATAAAGGTTTATCGAATATATATATATATATATATATACACTATGTAAAAAAAAAATACAGGTTTACAAACATATCGTTGGTATTAAACACATGCTGATCCCGTATCCAGCCTGAACAGGAGCGTCTTTGATTTTTTTCGTTTTGCTATCCTTCATCCGCTGGGTTGCACCTCGCACATTTTCGTACACAGCAAAGATAGGCGCCAGAACTTCGACAACCTGATTGGCGTGGGTTGAACAAATATAAACCATCAACTGCCAAAAAAAATGTTGTCGCACACTTGAACTTTATCGAATAGTATATTTGTATATGTTTTCATTCAATTTATATATATATAAGTATTGACCGCTGAAGCTCAAGCAGCCCCACTCCCAATCCAAAGGGACCTAACATACTTTGATGTGCCAGAGATAGAATGTGTCATTTTCAAAGATAACTATATACTATATATATTTTTAAATATTATATATATATTAACAAATATATATTATATATATAGACAAATCAATTGTTGAACTCGCATCTTATAAATATTGAAAATCAATCTCCAGCCACCCACATGCCTTCTTGAAGCCAAATCTGTAGGTTGGACCGCTTGTTCCTGACATATCCTGTGGGTCAGTGGTCTCATAACATCCGGTGAACTTGCGTCTGTCGCTTTTGAGGCCAGATAGATCTTTGCAGGAAGGACCTGAAATCAGCATATCGATCGCCAATGTTCTTCGGCTAACCTCATGTTCACCACCGCAAACATGACAGAATCCTCTGCCCGCTTCGAAAACTGACACATCTGCAAAGCAGTGCTGCACGTCTTTGTGCTGTTTGAGAAGAAGATTCCTTTTTGATTGATCTAATTCCACTGAGAATACATGCACCAGCTCCACATTGATGCCCTGGCAGGGGTTCACAAAGCACAACTAGATTATGTACTGTTGGCTTTGCGTAAGTGCCAAAACGCAGCAGTCAAATCATAAGGTTGTGGTAGGAAAACACAAGCCGATCAAATAGTCAGCAAATGACTATATACATTTAAATAATATTTATATATGTATACTATATAATATATATATATATATATTTATATATATATAAATAAAATGAGCATTGTGAACTGTCCTGGGTAGCGTTGAAGTGGTCCACCGTCTGTTTCAGAACTGTCACGCATATATCACAACCTGAACACGTTGTTCCAACTCGAAGCTTTCGTCCAGACAATTTGCGCAGCTGCTGTGTGAACAGTTGCTGAAAGTCATGATCTGCCTTGTGAAAATAGAATTTTGCCGTCTCAGCTAACGAAAGGGAACGAGGGCAATGATCCCTGCATTTGGCAGCTTTGGATGGATGCCTGAGTTGTTGAACATCGATCTTGAAAGGTCGGTTCCGGCCATTGTGATTGATCCATGGAATAGCCAAAGGCTCTGATACTGGGCACACATCGGCCAGCTTCCAAATCCACAAAGATTTGCTGCGTTGTCTCAAATTTCTGAGTTCACGTTGACTGTAGATGTCCTTCAGAACATCATTGGTGACCTTGTCAACGGTTGTATCCTCACATAAGCCTTCCACCTTGAAGGATCCGACAACGTAATATCCATCCTTGATCCGCGTTGCCAAAGCCAATTCCCCATGAGCTCGGCCTCCTTGGCACTGGTATGGTCTAAGCAACATCCGTGCACCCCGAAGAATGCTTTGCCATTCTTGCTCAGACACCATAATGCAAAGGTCGGCAGTGCTACTCACATGCTCAGTGTCATACTCGTGCTCCACAACCTGAGCATGGGGAGTGGTATTGTCATTGCCCAAGCTGTCACAGTTGACATAGTGCTTGGCCTTCTTGTGTGGAGATACATGGTTGCCAGATGAAGATGCGGGAATCTCTTGAAAAGATCTCTTGGTAGATGAAGTCATTGAGCTTGTCTCAAGGGAAGCAACCGGTGATGAACTGGTTGAACATTTTGGCAATTCCTGTCCAACACGGGAAGGCGGTGATAGATAGATAGATAGATAGATAGATAGATGTATATATGTATATATATATGTATATATTGCAAATACATTCTAAAAAAATAACAATCGTTCAAAGAAATCTATGTATATATATATATAAATAAGTGTTATATATATATATGTATATATATATATAAATGTATATGTATATGTATACACCATGAACTCTGACTTGGGGTCCCAATGTGTATATGGGCTGGTAAGCATATCAAAAAAAATATCAAACGAATATTTATATATATATATGAAAATAAAGAACCCACCAAGCCTCCTGCAAAGCTTCTGTTTCCGGCTCACCTGGCTGGCTTCCGTGCTCATCATCTTCATATTCTTCCTGATCGAGAAGGATGATTATACAATGCGATATATATATATATAAGTGATACAATATTAAAGGCATACACCTAGAAGGATATGTTTATTGATCTCACAAATATTTATATATACGTAAAGTATGTAAATATATATATATTATTGAATTTTAGAACTGATACAGGTGCATTCTAACTTGGGGGCCACAAACTGCAAACTACACTAATGAACATCAGCAAATGTAATCCAAAGATATATATATATATACATATACATACCTTTGTTTATGTATATATATATAAATTGTAGTTTTACATATATTACATGCAACCAACCATACACTCTTGGGTTTGCTATATATATATATATAGCATCAAAACAATACACAAAAATACCCGATCAAGCATCCCATAAAGCTTTTGGTTCCTGCTCACACGGCTGGCTTCCGTGCTCATCATCTGCATCTTCTTCCTGATGGAGAAGAATGATTATACAATGTGATATATATATATTTATATAAGTGATACAATATTAAAGGCATACACCTAGAAGGATATGTTTATTGATCTCATAAATATTTATATATACGTAAAGTATGTATATATATATATTATTGGATTTTAGAACTGATACAGGTGCATTCTAACTTGGGGGTCACAAACTGCAAACTACACTAATGAACATCAGCAAATGTAATCCAAAGATATATATATACATATACATACCTTTGTTTATGTATATATATATATAAATTGTAGTTTTACATATATTCCATGCAACCAACCATGCACTCTTGGGTTTGCTATATATATATATATAGCATCAAAACAATAAACAAAAATACCCGATCAAGCCTCCCATAAAGCTTTCGGTTCCTGCTCACACGGCTGGCTTCCGTATTCATCATCTGCATCTTCTTCCTGATGGAGAAGAATGATTATATAATATGATATATATATATATGATACATTATTAAATGCACATATCTATAAAGAAGGATATGTTAATAAATATATAATTTCAACACACTTTATATACGTATATATATATGTTTGGATTTTAGAACTAAAATATACATGTGCATTTTACCTTAGGTGTGCCAACATAGTAAATAGATAAATATCAATATATAATTACAAATTCAGAAACTATTATATATATATATGAATAAAAAATAAATTAGATAATGCAGAACAAACAAATAGCAAGTATATATATGTGAATAAAATGATTCCATGCAACCAACCGTGCACTAGCATCTACACACCCAAAAAAAAAAAAACATACATATATAACCCATCAAGCCTCCTGCAAAGCTTCTGTTTCCGGCTCACATGGCTGGCTTCCGTGCTCATGATCTTCATCTTCTTCCTGATGGAGAAGGATGATTATACAATGTGATATTTATGTGATACATTATTAAAGGCATACACCTAGAAATATGTGTTAATTTATCTCATATATATATATATATATGTACGTAAAGTACGTATATATATATATAAATATATTTATATATGTTTGTATTCTCGAACTGATACATGTGCATTCTAACTTCGGGGTGCCCACATGCATAGCAAGTGGATAAATATCAATAAATGCAATCCAAAAATTTTGAAACTATATATATATATATTATACATATATGTTTAAAACAGAAACAAATAGCACGTATATGCAAATAGATTGATTCCATACCATAATATTCTATGCAACCAGCGGTGCGCTCTTGGATTTGCAATATATATTTCCCTCCCATCCACCAAAAAAAAAAAACCTTTATATAAGCCTCCTGCAAATCTTCTGATTCCAGTCCAGACCGCTGGCTTCTGTGCTCCTCATCTACATCGTCTTCCTGATGCCAGAGAATAATATGGCAATACTATAGTAGAGTTTAAGGTCCAAACTAGTCCAAATTATATAATCATACGGTTGTGTTTCATATTGATATATATGATATGCACTTTCTCTCTCTCTCTCTCTTTCTCTTTCTCTTTCTCTTGAATAAAGATTTCAAAAAAAATGACAAACAAATTTTGGTAACCCTGTGGTTTTAGACAAAGAGAAAGATTGTATATACAACAAATTTATATATATACAGTATATACAATGTTTTTGCATCAATCCCGGCCTGAAGGTCATCCGAGAAATATGATGTTTGATGGTAGGTTGAAGCGGATTTGGGTTGTAGAACCTGGCCACTGACTGAAACCAACTGTACATGTTGATGTCATTTGATGTCATTTGATGTCATTCCGTTTGATGTCATTTGATGTCATTCAGCGTTAATCATTCACAAGACAAAGATCGAATATGGGTTTCACTAAGGAGCATTCTAACTTGGACGTCTTGAAATGTCTTTTCCCAAATGATATGTGAACATGAAACCCAGCCTTGCTCTCGATCATTTTCAACGTCTTCTGGTGTTCACATTGTGACTCCTGAAACACACATATATATATATACGTTCACAAAGTTTGACGACAGCTGCATACCCTTTAAATCAAGCTTTGAATACAGTTAACCCAATGGTAAAGCTGAAACTTGTTATATATATATATTCTTTTTATATATATATATACATATATTTGTATGTTTATCTAAAATCTAGAAACAAATATATATATATATATATCAAACCCAAGGAATCAAATCTATATATATATACATATACATATTTATTTACATCAGATGTATATATATATATATATACATTTATATATATAACTATATATATTATTTATCATTCAAGCATCCATATACATTTGATCCTGTACCCCACCTTTTCGAGCGCTTCCATCTGTGAATTTGGACTGTGACACCTTGTCTGTACTATGCATACTGCTATATACATTGGTCCTACTGCATGTCTTATCGTTTCCATGATAAGCCTTTGCGGTTTGTGCCTTTAGTTTTTTGATCATATGTCTTCTTGGTGGAACTAGATGACGGCTGTTTCAAGCCATCTTTGGACCAATTCCCCCAATCGTCATCACAATCTTCATCTGTTCCTGTAGTTGGTAAGCTAAGTAATGTTCGCTTGTCCTCCGGTGTATGCTTCATGGTGCCTTGGTCATGGACATGCCACTGGTCAGCTTGGTGATAGCAATGGTTCCAATTGTTCCAGTCCTGACGACCATCATATGAACTTCTGGTGGACCATTGTTGCATCATGTCATTGTACTGCGTGAACCCATGTTTGTACTGATCACTTTCGTCATAGTTCCAAGCCTCCCAGTTGTGAGCCTTATTCTGCCACTGCTGTGTCATGTCATCGTCTGGCATTGACTCCCATTTGTAGTCATACCAGTGAGTTTGGCCATCATCACAACCATTTGGTTCTCCACACTCATCCACTGAGTTCTGCTCATAGTAGCATTGCTCTGTCATGTAATCATCATCGGTTGGCCTCTGTGTGTACTCATCCCACTGGTTCAGCTGGTTGTAGCCTTCCCAGTTTTGACATTCATCAGAAACCTGAGCATCTACATTGTTGTCATTTGAAACTTGTTGATGGTCATCCTGTGTATCGTTCTCACCCCAGTCTGATGGAGCGTTCGTAGTGGCTATGATCGTGGGCTTGTTGCGGCGACATGAAAAGGTAAGATACAGTGTGTTACACTGCTCTTCACGTTGCCTTTTTAGTTTAGCTAATCGTCCAAATGGTGATTCAATGGGAAGCACTTCCCGCTGCATGTCTTCGTGAATTGCTTGAACCAATAGATGCAATGTTGCCAAATAAGTATATAAATAAATCTATATATATCTATAGTAACACTATATATATATGAAAAAAACAATTAATCAACCATACGTCCATGCATACATTCATCCAGTCATTCATTCATCCATTCATCCACGCACACACACACATACACTTGCATAAAAAAGTGAAGGTTATATATATATATACATAAATTGATAATCGCAATCCCTTCCCTTTCTCCTTCAGCATGGTGGCAATGTTGAAGGTCAAAGTTTGTGGAGCCTAGCGAATACAATGGGCCAGTCAACACAAGCAAAGCAGTGGCTGAACATTGCAAGTATGTGCGTAATATAGGAAAAAATATATATATATATAAAGGTAAAATTGTATATATATATATATATAAACACATGTCAACCCCATATGCTTTAACATGCAATGTCGTCTCTGAAGTGAAACCCTTGGCCTCTTCGCTTTTCTGGGTTGGCTTCTGATTCTTGAGTGAATCCTGATCAGTATGTGAACCTGCAGCTTCTCTTCTAGTTGGCTAGTGGCTAGCTATAAGGCACATACTATATATATACATATATATAATAGAAAGTAAATATATATATATAATATCTATATATATATATATTATATATAATATTTTTTTGAAAGGAAAGAAATTTAATATATATATATATGCACATATATATATATATTTCTCCTCCAAAATACATACATAATTATATATATATGTTCTCAGCACGAAACTGATATCATCAACCAATGGTTTGGGATGGCATTCTAACTCTGTGTGCTGAAACAACCCTTCAATATGCAGAGCATTGAGAAACATGAAGAACACAAAATCCACACGTATATAAACCACCAGAAATCCCCATGGTTTCAGTCCTGTAGCTCCTCTGATAGTGCCACACCATCAGTTTCCTTCTTCTCATCCGTTTGCACGTGGTTGGAACCCTGGTGCCAGTGCACACAGTTGGTGTAGATAAGCCTTGACCAAACACAAACAAAAGGTTCTTTAACAAGAAAACCATGCATCATGGTACATGTATGTATGTGTTGCTGATCGCAAGCATGTGTATATATATACCTATTTGAGTTATCTACACACATATATATATATAGTGAAAATATCGAAAGTCTAGGACTTGAGAATAGATCCTATGTATATAGAAATATATATATATATACATATTCTTTACAACATGCATCCGGTTTCTACACACATGCACATTCCAGTGAATAGGCCTCAGCCTCGGCATGTTCTGGCTCTGCAACCTCCGTTGTGGTTTGCTCCTGACGAACGATAACTTCATATATACATTCTATATTTGCAGAAATATATATAGTTGTAAATTTACTGATATATATATATATATATAAATATGTATGTATGTGGTTGGTTCACATCGGCACTGAAATGATATTTTTTGATATTGATTATGATGATACATTATGAGGCATTCTAACTCTGTGTGCTGAAACAACCCTTCCATATGCAGAGCAGTAAGAAACATGAAGAACACATATATATATATATATAATTCCCACATATATAAACCACCAGAAATCCCCATGGTTTCAGTCATGTAGCTCCTCTGATGGTGCCGCACCATCAGTTTCCTTCTTCTCATCCGCTTGCACTTGGTTGGAATCCTGATGCCGGTGCACACAGTTGATGTAGATAAGCCTTAACCAAACACAAACAAAAGGTTCTTTGACAAGAAAACCATGCATCATGGTACATGTATGTATGTGTTGCTGATCGCAAGCACATGTATATACCTATTTGAGTTATCTACATATATATATAGTGAAAATATCGAAAGTCTAGGACTTGAGAATAGATCCTATGTATATAGAAA